TACATATAATATATAAAGTTTATATAACAAATTAAAAATATAGATTAAAAAGTCTGTGATAAGACAGCAGTGTCAGACTTTAGTTGGCCTTCGTTTTTGTTTTTTTTTCTTTGTTGTACTTAAGATAATGGGGTACAGCCTTACAGGTACAATGAAATAAATACATTGTGTGTGTGTGTGTGTGTGTGTGTGTGTGTGTGTGTGTCCCCGAGCATGCATGAGCATATGTTTTGGCACAGAATCTGGCCCAACAGCTTGAAGGAAAAAAAAATGTAAAAATTAAGGCCTGGCTTCCCTCCTACCCCTCCAAACACGACTCAGTCCCCTCCACGGAGCTTGTCTGACTGACCTTTCCATGTTGCTGCCCCTTGGGGCTCTCTGTCCCAGATCCTCTTCCCTTCCAAGTCCAATGTTTCAATTTCCTTCTGCAGCTGAAGGTCCCGTTTGCTGTCACCCAGGCCTCTTTCCTGAGCCCTCACTCAGGGATCCGGCTGCCCCAGGGCATCTCCTCTGCACCCCCCCAGGAACCCCCATGGAGCTCAGTGCCTTCACCCCAAAGCTGCTCCCCTTCTCCCCATCTCAGAGAGAGCCCTGCAGTCCCTCCCACACCAGGTGAGGCCCGTGGGGGCCATCCTCACCATCTCCCCACCCCCAGCTTGGCAGTCCCAGCCCCACCCTCCTGCCTTGACCCTGCCTCATCCCCCTGTCAGGCCTCCTCCTCTCCCCCACGTCCTCACCCTAATATCCTCTCCAGCCTCCCAGCCTCCGGTGTCTCCCCTCCAGTCTTTCCCCGACGGCAGAGCTGATCCTGACCCTCCCCTGTTCAGAATCCTCCCGTGGCTCCTTGGCACCCCCTAGAAAAAGTCCAAGGTCCTCAGCTGGAGTTCAGGCCTCTCCCCACCACTCCACCATCACCTCCCATGAGGATCACCCTTCAATCCTTTGTTCCAGCCAGAGGAAAGCCCTCCTTGTTCCCAAAACATGCCCTATAACCTCCTTATTTCCTCACCTCTGCTCAGCCCTCTCCCTCCTACCAACCTGACAGGTTCAAGTTCTGTCCAACCCTCAGGGTTCAGCCCTAAGAAATTCTCCTCCTGGAAACCTAATCCTCTCATCCAGTCAGACCGTCCCACCCCCCCAGACACTCACACCACCCTATGTGTCTTTATTGCTACCTGCACCTCATCTCATCCCACGCTGCCCGCCAGCTATTTATAACTTCCTACATAATAAAAGGCCTGTAAGCCCTGATTTGGGTGAACTGCCGTCTTGTTCTGTGCCTCAGTTTCCCAAGAAACTCAAGTCAGAGTACTACCAAAGGCCTAGCTCCTCACCTCAGAAGCCCATTTGGGGGGAGGTGCCCTCGCGCAGAAGGAGGGGGTAAAACAAGAACAACTCTGGGGGCGGAGGCTCAAAATGTTTTTTGCCTCCTGCCAGGGGAGGGCTGAAATGTTGGATAAGTCCTAGAATTGCGGTTGCAATCCCGGCGGGCTGGGGGCGGGGCTGTGGATGTGGGCAGGCCCTGGAGGCGGGGCTTAGAGTATTGAAGTCAGGCTCAGAATGTCGGAGCATGGGGTGGGGAGGCTCAATATGTAGGCACATGACGGGGGCGCCTGGGTGGCTCAGTCGGTTGAGCGGCTGCCTTCAGCTCGGGTCGTGATCCCAGAGTCCTGGGATCGAGCCCCACATCGGGCTCCCTGCTCAGTGGAGAGCCTGCTTCTCCCTCTCCCTCTGCCTGCCTCTCTGCCTACTTGTGCTTTCTCTCTCTCTCTGTCAAATAAATAAATAAAATC